TGTGATTCTCTGAGGTCGTTCCCTTTGGGCATTTTTCCCCAACCTTTCATCTCTTCGTATAGGAAATTTTGAGAATCTGGAATCTCTTTCAGTTGAAGGAGGAGCAGATGAAAATCTCAGCCATCTCAACTCCCTGGATATTTGGGTATGTCGAAATCTTGTCTCTTTTCCCGAGGGGGGTTTGCCCACTCCCAACCTCACTTTCTTTGATGTCTACGACTGCGAGAATTTGAAGTTGTTGCCGGACCGAATGCACACCCTCACCGCCCTTCAAACCTTATTGATACGCAGTCTTCCAAATCTTGTCTCTTTTCCTGACGGAGGATTGCCCACTCCCAACCTGACTTACTTTAAAGTAGGGGATTGCGTGAATTTGAAGTTGTTGCCGGACCGAATGCACACCCTCACCGCCCTTCAACGTTTGGAGATATCCAATCTTCCAAATGTGGAGACGTTGCTCAATGAACAGATGCTCCCTGCCACTCTTCACGCTCTCGAAATCTCTTATGCATCTTATCTGAAAACTTTGGACGGAAAGAGTTTTGAGCACCTCACTTCTCTTCAACAGCTACAAATCGAAGGGTGCGAGAGTCTCGAATTCCTGCCAAAAGAGGGTTTCCGGCATCTCTTTCTTATCTGAAGATCCGGGGTTGTCCTCCTCTGAAGAAGAGGTATGGGAACAAAAAGGGAAAAGATTGGAGAAGCATAGCTCGCATTCCTTGTATAGAGATAGATGATGAAATCACCATATGAGCTTTCATTTCGTTAACCCAACAATAATTAAAGTTAACAGAGTTAGTTTTAGGTTAAGTTAAAGGACATGTGTCAACATATTAGCAAGGAGACACAAAAAAGAGACACTTTTAGGGCCAGCAAATCTGGAGCTGTGGATAGCACACATCTATATATACTTTGAGTTATATTGTTGTTTTGTTGGTTAGAAAAGGGTTGTAGGTTTCCATATGCTTGTGTTTTATTACGTCCAAAACGTAGGAGCTTTGAGCCAGAAATGAAGCATTTGAGAATTTTCTTCAAGTGTGATAGGAAACTGAACTTCCTGCTCAGGTGCTGCTATGCATTTGGCATCATTGGTTGAAAGATTTAGTGGTACATCTGTTTCAATTTTGGCGTAGGTGACTGTACTTATTATCATTTAAGAGAATAGGGATCATCAGATATAGTGGTAAAGCCATAAATTATCACAGAAATGAGCGAAATTTAAACAGGTAAAAGAGTATATGACTGTGAAGACACGTGATATTATGAGCCTCTAGAAACACACGCGAGCGCGCACAAATATATATATATATATATATATTTTTTTTTTTTTGAACAAACACGTAGACATATATATGAAACAATTGAAAAATGTAAAAAAATTCGTGAGAAGGAAAATAATTATTTTTTGGGTAATAACAAATATAAATTATGAAAAAAAAAAGAGGCTTATTTAGACCAACTCTGACTCTTAGAGTAAGTCCTAAAATTTACCTTCTATTTCCCCTCAATTTCCTTCCAACCTTAGGCCAATTTGGGACTATAGGTTGGGACTATAGGTTAGAAGCTAAAATTGGACCAAATACCGGCCAGAAAAGTGGGCTGGATTAGTGGTGTGCCCCACTTTTGCGTGTGAACGCGCTCCAAAACTTGGCAGCGCAGCAAGAATGACACGCCCATGCACGGAACGCACTGGGAGATGAGCAGCTGGTGGTCCCATGCACATGGATCTTGTTGGCCACCCATCAGAGCCCAATGACTCTTTTTCTCATCCAAGGGTTGTGCTTCACTGGACCGTTGGATCCAGGTTCGAATTTGTGTTTTTTTTTTAGTTTATATTTATAAATTTATTAAATCTAACAGCTGAGATTGAATATAACCAAATCTAATTATGGAAAAAAAAATTTTAAAGTTAAAATTTAAATCCAACTGCTAAAATAATTTAAAATTTTATTTAACTCAAAATTCACTCAAAAACTCTATAAATGCCTATATATTTGTTCAAACATCCACTCAAAATTCACCTTTCTCCTACAATTCTTTCAATTTTTCATTCTACCATCTTCCAAAACCATGTGTTTTGTGTTTATTCATCTCTATCATGTGTTTCATATTCTTCCATAGTGTTTCATGAGTTTTATATATTGATTTAGTGATTTTTCAATATTGATCGGGATTTAAATATTTTTAGGTTAAAATGTTCATAAAATTAATTTATGATAATCTACATAATTTTTTTAAAGTTATTTTAAAAAAATAAAATGATTAAATTTATTTTTTAATAGTATGGGGGTAAAAATTTAACCCATAAGGGTTAAAGTAAAAAAACTACTTCTCAATTAAAACATAAATATTCTGAGCTAAAAATTTTATGTTTTAACTCAAATGTTGAAGATGCTCTCAAAGGAGGGAGAAGAAACAGGAAAAAAGGGAGGAAGAGAAGGACGGGGAAAAGTGGGTAGGGAATGCCTCAAACTTAAAAAAACTCAAAATGGTAAAATATCGAGGATTTGACAGTCCTCGTTCTCACGTTGAGGCAGAGCCATAGAGAGAGAAGGGTAGAGAGAGGATGGAGAACCATAAGCAGATAGAGAAGGATGAGTGGGGCCATGGCAGTGGAGACGGCGATGTGGCTGTAGTTTGCTGCTCTGTTGCTTCTTCTTTGAAACCGCTTTCCTCTTCTGGTTCTCCACCCCCAAACTCAAGCTTTGAAACTCTGCAATTCAACTTTCAACTCTGTAATCGAGAAGAAGAAAGGTAACAAAAGAGATGAAAGTACCAGAGGGGCGGATTTAACTCGTAGGGTCAATTTCTGACGATTGAAGGTGCGGCCGCACCTCCTTAGAGCTTTGTGGCTTCCCCACTGATCAGCTATAGAATCTGGTGTTCGGTGTTCCACATAAACCCAAAAGCTAGAATCTAGCTATAGGGATCATCACATCACATAAAGCTCAGTGTGAATTGGGAATTTTCCTAGTAGCTAGTGGTAACTAGAGATTTTGCACGAGAGCCTGATGTCAGAATACAAAGAAGTTCTTGTTCACCATATGTATTCTTGAGAGAGAAAGAGAGATTTGAGAGAATAGCAATCTTAGAGAGAGAAATGAATTGTATCTTGTATGTATTGAATTAATGAATGTGTTACAATATCTACACATATATATAGACAAGTTGTCTTTCCCGTTTGGTACAGCGAGATGGCTTTTACCCATCTTGGCCACGCGTCAGTCGTCGTCCTACCAGCTTGCACCTTCTCGACTTTTCCTTGGTTTCCATTTCTCTCTCTCAAATCTGGGCTTCAGTCTACATTCAACTCGCTCTCCATCTTCATAGAAAACCTGATTCCTCGACGCTTTCTCAAAACGTGCAAGTTTGGTTTCGACCATTCTATCCCAATCTCACAATCTTTGGCACAAAACCTTGAAAATATTGGCCTCTGTTTCCGTCTCCATCCCCTGACTTGGGAACGGTCTCTAAGAGCTTTCTGCGTCCATCCTTCCGAAGGTATGGCCTTCACCAATCCCATGTTTTAGTTTGTTTCTTACTTTTATTTTAGTTTTGGATTTGTAATTTTTTTTTGTTTTTCGTTTCGTAGCTGAGAATATGTGATCTTAGGTTCGGCTTTCACCGTCTCGCTCCCTCAGCCTCCACACTCTCCGACTCCGGTTCCAGTTAATTCGGTTCCAAAATGCGTATTAAAAGGTGGGTCATCTCTGTTTATGCCAATTTTCATGACCCATAAAGCATTAACCGAATTGGGTTTTGTTTGTTTGGTAACATGGATTGCTCAGGTTAGGTTGGAGAGAATGGAGGTAGAAATACAATTGGGAAAGATAAAGAAATTTTTTATGTTTGAAGGTAGAAAGTTTTTTTATTTTTCGTGGAATTGATGTTCTGTTTTTTAATGAGTTTATTATGGTTTGCTTGGACAAGTACACGAGTGTTTGGGATTGAAAAGTTGAGAGAGGCCACAGATGGGTTCAGAGAAAATAGCTTGATTGAAGGGTGTGTGTATAAAGGTTTCATTAATGGAGATTTCTTTGCCATCCAGAAGATGAAGTGGACCGCGTGTGAGGAGCTCAAGATCCTACAAAATGTATTTTCATCTAATTCTTCTATTTTTTTTCTTTGTTTTTGTTTCTTAATTTTTGGGTATTTGGTAAAGTTTTCATCTCAACAACCCTAAAAACTACCAAGCCTATGTGGTGCGCATGCCGAGGAATCTATGAACTAACTACGTCATTCGGTTGAATGCGGGGCGTGCCAACTCGACGGGCGAGCTATGAGTAAAATGTGTTGATGTTGCGTTGGGTGCACTGCTGACTTCTACGTCTTCCAATTGCGACCGAGGAAGGAACACGTCTCGGCCTCTTGGGTTCTCGAACCTGAGGACAAGGCTACTATTCTTACAAAGTTCACAAATCGTCGTCGTCGGATTCGGTCACAGTGATGGTATTCGTCAAAGTAAACTCACGCCGAATCGACACCAATGTGTAAGGTCATAAATACTCAAAGCGGATATAAGTCTTGACAGTAAACGTGGTTCATCTGTTGGAATGCCGAATTCTAAATCCCACTTGAGAGTATCCAATCATAAACTAACTCGGCGTGCAATGCGCTGAGCCCAGGAAATTGTAACACCTCACTTCGCTGAGAAGGCTGATGAGATGAACTCGACCAATAAGAATTCAGAAATCCTTCTCGACTGAGATTTGGATAGGTAACCAGTCGTCCTCGCCGCAGTGCTATTTCTACCGAGACAGTGATATCTGTGCCGACTGAAGATATCACCGGTTGCCTTCACAGTGCTGTTTATGCCACTAAAGATGTGTCGGCGAAAAAAAGAAAATAAAAATCTCAAGGTTGTTGAAAGGGTTTGCGTATGGCAGATTTGTGTGTTGAATTGGATGGGGTCCTTCAATGATGCACTGAGTCTTGTATTTATAGGGTTGGGTATCTGCTTGCTTCGGCCTGACGAGGTTTGTAGAGTTGATCAGGATTTTACCGGACTTGGATTGTCTGCCCTCCTAGTTGTGGTGCCCTTCCATGCCCTCCTATTTTGTGCGGTCACGGTTAAGCCACGTCAATATTTTATATTTTTATTATTTTTTGTCTTATTATCTTATTAAAAAATTAATATAAAATATTGACGTGGCTTAACCGTGACCGCACAAAATAGGAGGGCATGGAAGGGCACCATAACTAAGAGGGCAGACAATCCAAGTCCGATTTTACCACCTCATGCGTCATCAAAATCCCAAATCCCAGATAGAGGCCACGTGCATTTTTAGAAGACCCATCTTTTGCATGACTCCTCACACTAGGTTTACTACTGCAACTACTCCTTTGCCACATGACTTTTCTTTCATCCCATCGCTGAATTAATAATTATATAGGAAATAATCTTTCACACAGCATGCTTGTGTTTCCATCATCAACTCATCTGACCACATCCATCACTATGCAAAAAAGACCTATCCTATATAGGTTTCTATTTCACCATTATCCAAGTCGTCACTTCAACACTATCTAGACTAGGTGCACGCAACCAATTTGACGTCAAACTTCAAAAATATATCCAAGCTGCTCTAATCTGATGCACTGCTAACAAATCCAAATTAACTCGGACGGTTCCACTTACTCCTGAATTGGAGCTATGATTTGTATCCCAATTATTTTGTACAAGAAAATCAAGACGATATTAAGAAATAATTATTATGATTAAAAATCATAACCTTATCTCTTGACAAAACAAAATTATCCTAATTTTCTTATCCGATGGTTCAAAATCATGCTTACTCAACGGCCTCAATTGCATGGGCCAATGGTGTAATTTTGAGTCCAAACAGTAGCACACCATTTGTTGACTGACTCACAAGCTCATTGGCACAACTCTCAGTTTTTCTTCTTCATCATCATACTCTTCCGTTTTCAGTTGTGAATTTTGGAGGACGATCTATACACAAGATGGTAGGTTTTTGTCCATATTCTATCCCCATTTTTGAAATTTTAGGAAATTGATTCCTTTTCATGTTAAATGTTTAACATTCGTCTGGTGATGATGATTTGAGGCTGTACGAACTAGAATGACTGTGGGTAGATCCACTCCTCATGTATTGACGAATGTTATGTATCTTATTGAATGATTTTGTCTTATGGCTTTGCATGTACATCATTTTCCGTACGACGTCACCTAGAAAGTTCGTTGCTGTATTATGTCAATATTTTACAATGGTTGCTTATTTATTTGGAAATTGATGAACATGAATCACTTTTCTTGAAGTGGTTCGTGCTGGTTCCATTTTACCAATTTGAAATTATGTGGAATTTGATATGTTGGAATTCAAATCTTTTTCAATTTTTAGTGTGTTTATATATTTCAGTTTTTTAATTTGTGTATATAATTTGCAGCGAGACAGAACGAGTAAAGCCATCAGATGTGATCCTAGGTACCAGAGGCAGAGGCTTCATTCAAAGGTATTCCTACTCTCTCTCTCTTACACACACAATTCTTTTACTCACTTTATTACTGGGATTTCTTCAGTGTACTACAAGGAAGTGTGAGCGACTATTGCATATGCAACTATAAATCAGCTCTGGTTGTAATTGTTCCAGGGAATGGTATAATATTCCATCTTATACGTGAATGGAACCAGCTTAAGGTCGAAGTAAGCATGTTTGATGGCTCCGTTTGACAAATATGCCTACTAACTGTTTGATAAAATGACTGTTACTATGGTCCTTAAAATGATTGTTAAGCATATAGTTTTCAGTGATCGACAATCCCTATATATGCATTGCATTTGTATACCATTTTCACTTGGTTGGAGGTCTTGAAAGACTCCATTTAATGAATCCAAAATGTGTAATTCCTTTGGGGAGCGTTTGATAATCATTTGGTTTTCATTTTTCAGTTTTTGCTTAGATTTATTTCTGGACATGTCCAATAAGTTTACTTTAGTATATAGAGATCTATATATTACAATTTAGTATAAATTTATGTATTATCTTCTTCTTAGGTTCTTCAAGCGTTTAACTTTTTGGAATATCATTTTTGGAAAATGCTGGAGTAGTATATTTTATAGTGTGGCCTAACTTGTTTTGATCCAAGTTTCCATTTACGTTCAATGTTCGATTCTCTTCAGTACAACGAAAAAAATTTGAAAAGAAACCAACATAGAAAGTGGTATGACCCATCATTATTTGCTACTTTGCTTACAGTGGTAAACCAGCTCAAGTTCTTTAACCTGGGTTTTACAGTTTTACTCTAATGTTAATTATGACACAGCTTGAATTCCATGGGTTATATGTTCGAGTAAACCTTACAGTAAGGAAGAAAGGGGAGGAAAGCAAAAGGATGAGGTAGCCGCGTGTGAACATTGAACATTGAAGATTTCATCTTTGTAGAGAGAAAGAAGAAAAAAGGAGAGAGAAACAAGAAAAACAAAATTGTGAGAGGAAGGGAGGGGAGAGAATCCCCATCCAGCGCGTGGAGGGATTTGATGATTCACAACTTAGGTAGTGTTATTCACTCTTTTTTACCTCTGACACACCCTTGTTAAATTTTTTTCCATTGATCTTCTTCAATTCATTTTTGAATTTTGAATGGACTTATTCATTTTTTTTCATTGATCTTCTTCAATTCATTCGATCTAACAGCCGGAAATTGAGAGGGTGTATAGGAAGTAAAAATAGTTGTATAGATAGCACCACCCTACAACTTAATGTTGTGTCTTCTTTTTTCTTCTGACTTCGGGCATGGCTAGCTTCCATAGTGTGACGAGGCCTGAGAACAAATTCATTGTTGTATGGCTGAACGAAGATTACTAGTGATTCTGGCCATTGTAGCATGTGTTTTGCCCAAGGCATAAAGGGGCAAGGGCGCATGATGACTTGACGTCATCCTCCCGCTTACCATCGTCTTCTATCTAGTAATTTCCGAGAATGCATCGTTCCAAAAGAGTTGAGTCATTCGGTGGTAGGATTGCTTATCTAAAAAACGCTTCTGAGTTGCTTATAAGTTATAACTCATAAGTACTTAATTGAAACTTTTATTACAATCTATGTGTTTAGTAGAAAAACACTTGGAAGTACTTTGAAGTTTTCCACTAAACAAAGCATTTTGGCTGTAAAGAGCAATTAGTTTAAGACCAATTAGCTATGTGAACAGTGAATGTCATCTAACTCTCCAAACCTAATTTCAGGACCTAAATGTATTAATTATTATAGAATGGTTTTAATCCTATTTTTTTTGTCGGTAAGGATATTTTTGTATCTTTAAATTATGCTACCTAAATTTAATTTTAGGGTAATGCTAGGGAGACCAAATTCGTAGACCGAATTTTATAAACTAACTGATATGGAAGTTGATGATTAAATTATTACTTAAGTGTTGATTATCGTGCTTATTTCTTATTAGGTCCCTGCCACGCGTGGCCCAACTGTCAGCTACTAAGTTTTATATTCAGCAACTTAATAAAAAATAGAACCCACTCCAAATTTGGGTCAGCCAAATCTGAACCCAAATTTAGGTTTTGATTGGTGTCCAAACCCAAATATTTTGTGTTTGGAATCCAAATTTTTTGGGTTTGGGACTTAGCTTTGGGTCACATGTTTTCCAACGTAAACCCAAATATTTAAGTTTGACTCCAAAGGTTGGAGTGGTCGATCTCGTCAAGTTCCAAAAGAAAAACCCAAGGTAGCCCTTACTCTCTCGCCATTTATTGAACATTCGAGTCCAAACAATTGATCATACGAGCAAAAGTGCCTTCTACATCAGTCTCTCACAAAAGTGATCAGCGCAAACACCTTCCAAGTTGTCGTAAGAACTTAGGTCAACCAACGGCACTAAAAATTGAAAATTTGGAAAAAGCAACACTACGTGTGAACATTCTCATCTCACCAAACCAAATTATGAAATGAAATCCCCTACACATCTCTGTCCGGAGCCCTCAAACCGAGAGATTTGGACTATTCAAGAGAGAAAATGAGATGTGAGCCATTTAAGTTTTTAGGTTTTTATGAAATGGGTTACTGAAATATAGGAACTATAGATTAAAATTGAGTGGTCAAAATCTCCTAATCTATGAATATCAGACACAAAGATCACTAGTGGATCTCAATCCCCAAATTATAGTTGGTTAGTTTCCTTTCCTTTTCTTTTTCGCTACTTTTGGGTTCCCAAGCCATGTGGGATTTGCTTATAGTTAATTTGTATTACTGGTATCACCACATTTTTATTCTACTAAAACTGGAAACAAAAGCACCCCAAAGAAGGCCAAACTACAACGCTGGTCCTGACGTTTTTTTGGTGCCTGGGGCGAACACTCAAAATTTGTTTTTTTTACCAACAGATATTAAAAAGAAATATTTAAAGAGGGCTGGAACCCAGTCGAAGCTGGGGGGCTAGGCCCTCACGCCCATATTATATTACTTGATTAAAAACATACAACGGGGGGACATAGTACCTAAACCCGTCGATCAAAACCAAAATCATATACAACCACTCCAAGCAGTCAACATGCCACCACATATTGAATCCAAAAAGTTGATGCCCCATTCACCACACATAATGTACAGAAGATAACAAAATTACTACTACTAAAATCTCATAACATTGAGTAAAAAGAATCATCTGAAAAGATGAACAGATGCATCAATTCTATTAGAGAAGCCAATCATGCGGTATACTTTGAAGAAGATAAGGAATACGTGATCAACATATACGTTGACCATTCTAAGTGCAAATTTAGAAGTGATATGCTCCAAGTATGATATTCGACAGAAAAGAGCGGCAGATTCAACCAGTTCTGCTATGTCCGGCTGGGTGAGAGCAGCTAAAGACATGAATGTTCCCTAATATAATGAATAAACTGAGTAAACACCAAAAGTAGCAGCAAGGGAAGGAGATGTGAAGTAGATGAAGAGGTGTAAAACCTGTGAATGTCCAACAACAAAGACTTTGGAGATTGTTGTCGATATATGCAGCGCATCATTTCTGTCTCTTCTGATAAAGATGTGTGTCCATGACTCCTTCGTGTTCCACACACATTCCCTACGCATACATCGAAACCTTCATCTGCAAGGACAAATTCCAGCGATTCTTTTCGAGAATTTAAGAACCATGCATCACCTGGTTAAGATCAAGAAAAGCCAGTAATCAAGTTCAATTGAGTTTGAAGCGCATTAGAGCCTAATTTAAAATGTATCCCATGGATGTTCATCACTTTACCCAAAAGTTAGTTTCAAGAAAAGAAATTTCAACAGAACCTGAAAACTTCAGATCAGGGAGCACCATATAGTGAGCTATACATTCAAATTCTGAAACAATCAACTTAGTGGGATGTTGAAAAAAATCGGAAGGAGCTATAAAAGTAAGGCTTTTCACTAATCAGGCGTCGAGAGATTCAATATTTTACTCACAGATCAGTTAAGGGGAAACACTTTCCACCAAAGCAATCTCATTAGTCCTCCACATCTCAAACCAAAAAGAAATTGCACTAACAAACACGACTTCTATTAGTCCTTCACATTCCATACCCAGTAAGTAGCCAACTTTCGTCTGAATCTGGAAAACAAGAAGCAGTGAATTTAATTAATCTTGGTATCTCAAAGTTACTCAGTTTAATCACAAATTTAACAATTAACATATAAATGGGCAATTTTTAGAGAAATATTAATTAGCATAGTACTCACTGTGTGCTCGGAGCAAGAGTACATTTGATCCGCTGCAGATTTTAAGATGTCCTCACATGCTTCCATGCAACACTGAGTGTCTGAGACATTTGATCTGCCGTTGAAGCTCAACAACGAATATTGTGTATAAAATATGCAACCATCCAACTACACAGTTCAAAACTCAATTTAGAGCTCTTTCTAGTGAGTTATTAATGGAAGAAACAAAGTACAGAACAAGCACACTAAATAACAATGCAAGCAAACCAACAAAGAAAAATATGAAGAGGGACCTTGCATGGGCGGCTACTTCCCATATTGTCAGTTAGTTTTATGGTGGAAACTCAAACCAGTCCTTCATTTATCGCATCTGCAGAAATGAGGCACATGTATAAACAAAAGCTATATGGTTATTCGCTTCCTTCATCCCATCTGTTTCTTCTTTGAATCAGTACTACATGTCCATGAAAGTAAATTAAGAAGCAAAACCTAACCAGAAAAGTTTGAAAGCCTTATTATGTGGTTTGGAAATTGCCAAGCACTGACACGGTTGTGCAACATAATAATTGAATTGAAGAAGTCCGTACAAATTGTCATCTGGCCGGTTGCTTGGTAGTTTCAACACCTGAAAAAGACAAGGGAAATTAAAGAGAAATTAAAAAAAATTGAAGTAATCACCACGGGTGGCCCAATGTTTGGGAACAAATTCCAGATTCGTATTTCACACGACACGTTTTGGGTTCGATTTTTAGCATTGGTGAATCACACGTTGGTGACCAGGAAAAGGCTAAAATACAGCCTTCAAAAGAGTAGAATGTCGTGTCGCAGTCACTAGTTGGTCCCCTTTTCGAAAAAAAATAAAAATAATTGAAGTTAGTGTGTAAAGAATGCTTACTGCTTTGCTTTGGAATCAGTGTTGCTCAACGAGAAAGCAAAAATGTGGACAAAATCTTTGACCATATGTTATTTCATCTGAAAGAAAAATAAAATGTTGGTGATGAATGAAGAATGAAGAATAAAATTAAGAAACGAGAATGACATTTGAATATTTTATAGTTTATACTGAATAAGGCAAGTACAAATTGAATCAAGTTAGAAAACGTACCTTAATAACTATGAAAAGAAATGGATGGGATGTGAGCAATCTTAGGCCAATCCTCACCTGTTTCCTCCTCGCATCTTTCGCTTAACATGGAGCACTCCCATATTCGCAATCTATTTAAGTTGGGGAGTCGACGAATCCCTTTTGGCAGTGATGCCAAATTTGGGCAAAATTCAATTGCAAGGTGCTGCAGTGACGTGAGATTGCTTATTTCTTCCGGTAGTGATACCAACTTTGGGAAAGATGTAATCGTAAGCGATTGGAGTGATGGGAGGTTGACGACGACCACTTCTGGCGGTAATGTCAGATTAGAGCAATCTCCAATTGCAAGCTCCTGAAGTGATGTAAGATTGGCGATCCCTCTTAACATTGATGTCAAATTGGAGCGATTTCTAACTGTAAGCTCCCGAAAGGATGCGAGGTTGCCCATCCCATGATATGGTAGTAATGCCAAATTTGGGCAATCTCTAATGTAAAGCGATTGGAGTGATGGGATGTTGCCCATTCCTTGTGACGTTAGACATTCCAAATCCTCAATTTTAATGAGTGACAGACGTGTTAATTTGGAGAGATGAGGGGAGGAAGAAGAGGCAGAGACATCAACACCAACATCATGTGTAATATCAGATGCTCCTCTACCAAACAAGGAATCAACAACCTTCCAGCTGCACCCATTGAGATCTATTCCCTCCACATTTGGATACAGAGGCATGGAAGTTAGATTAGGACAATCCCAGATCTGCAATGTAGAAAGACAGGGAAAAGAAGGCAACGACAGATTTTCCGTTGATGAAGAAGAAGAAGCATTGTTATGAGTGTGCGCCCTCCACCATCCCTTCAGAACAGGGCAATCGGATAAGCAGAGGAACTCCAGGGACGTCATCATCTCATCACTCATACTATTACTGCTGCTGGTATCGTCTGATATGTACTCCAACTTCTCAAACCCTTCAAGTTGAAGAGACTTGAGGGATGGGAAATGATCCAAGGGTGGAAGATGTTGGCATCTATGACACCCAGTCAATGTGAGATCAACAAGATTTATGAGAGAAGAAAACCAACTCGCAAACCTCACACCACCATAATCAGACACGGACAACATCTTTAGATTTGAATGGGGTTGCAACACTTCCATTGACATTATAATATCCTTCTCATCAACTGCGTTTACATCTTCTCCACGTTTCCAGTCTAAAGTCAATGAATGGAGATGCTGTTTCTCCATGAGAGGTGTACCAACATTTGAATCTGACATCACATCTTTCTCCTGCCTCAAATTTATAATTTCTAACTGTCCCCTTAATTCCCTAAGCTTTCCCAGTTCACCAAGACCAGCACTGTCCCTCAACAAAGAATTGTTTTCGCTTAAAACAAATTTATCCAATGTACGAAGACCGGTCAGCTCCCCCAATCCACGTGGCATTCGAGTCAATTTATCACAGCCTTCCAAGATGAGATACCTTAAGTTTATCATTTTTTTTATGTCTCTAGGCAATTCCATAAGCTTCCGGCAGTAAGAGAGATCAAGTGTTTCCAAATTCGAAAGTCCAACTATCGAATCTGGAATTCTCTCGATGGGATTACCAGTAAGATCAAGATATCTCAAATGTTTCACTTTTTTAAGACAATTAGGTAATTTTGTAATTCCAAAGTCGTTGAGACTCAGCATACGCAATGACTTAAAATTTGAAATAATTGTAGCACAAGATGAATTCTTTACTGAAAAACTTCTATACTCTTGGCAAGGAAGAAGAAAGGTTCGTATCTTTTTCGCTTTTAGCAAGGAAGTTGGCACTTCCCATTTCAACAGATGAACATGAAAATTGAAAGATACATGACAAAGCTTTTCATGAAATTTTTTTTGGTTCCGATCAACAACGGTGCTTCCGACCCCCGACACTAATATTGCAAGTTCATTCATGAGATCGTGCATTTTACAACTTTTTATTCTTCCAAACTCATCTTTTTCTTCTTGAAAAAACGATCTGCACAACAATTCCATATAATATTCATACGCAACATCCTCCAAACTCTCGTTTTCATCGGATGACTTAATGAACCCTTGCGCCACCCAAAGTCTAATCAACATCGGTACAGAGATCTCATAATCAGGTGGAAACAAGCTACAGTAAGCAAAACAATGCTTCAAATGTGATGGGAGCACATCATAACTTAGTTTAAGTGTTGGTAAAATTTCATTTTCTTCCTGATTTATTCTTGAAAGTTTATTTTCTTTGAAATTCAACCATTCTGTTTCGTGATATTTGGTGCGCAACATCCCACCTATTGTCCTTATAGCGAGTGGAACTCCTTGACATTTTCTTGCAACCTCCTTCCCAATTGCCTTAATTGTTGAATTCTCTGGCTCTTTTCCATCTTTAAAAGCCATTTCCTTAAATAAAGACCAACTGTCCTCTTGATTCAAACCCCTTAAGGTGTATGGTTTAGTTGTGTCTGATATCGTCGCAACCGCTTCACTACGAGTGGTTATCAGTATTCTACTACCTTTTCCACCCCCCATTAACAAGTACTTCAAGCTAAGCCATTTCTCCCGATTCTCATTCCACACATCATCCAACACAATTAGATATTTCTTCCCATCTACTTTTCTTCTAAGATCATTTTGCAGCTCATCCATATCAATCTTGTCAACTTTTAGTATTTTCTTAACGACTATATCCAACTCAAATACATTAGAGATACATGACCATATTTTCAACTCAAAATGATTTTGAATCACCTCATCGTTGAATATGAGTTGGGCAAGAGCAGTTTTCCCCAATCCTCCAAATCCAACTATGGAAATGGTTGACACATTCTCAGTTGAGATGTGATCCAACAAAAGTTGAATAATTGCATTTTTATCTTCATCTCTCCCTATAACATTTTCCTTAGGGACAAATGAGTGAGTGATCCTCTCTCTAATTATAAATCGTGTATCTTCACGATTTATTTCCAAGTGAAAGGCTCTACGAGATGCAACCTCATGAAGCCTCTTGTTTATATCTTTTATCTTATGACTCATCTTTAGCCGGAAAGCAAGTTGATTTGAGCTAGAGAAGAAGAGGCGTACCTTCTTTGACATCTTAGTATTGTCACACATCATTTGTCTCTGCAGAGCTTCAGTATTAAACTCATCCAGCAAGTCATCGGCTTCATAAACTGCATCTTCTACGCTTTTGAGCCACAGTTTGACTTCATTGTTGGTTTGCTTTTGCTCAGCGTCAAGAAGAACACCTTGGAATCCGGCAACTATCTCCTTGAGCTTGTGGAGCTCATCTTGGACACCCCAAATTAATCCGATCTCTTGGAAAGCAAGGGAGCCTAGCCCTCCGATGATTCGTGCTGCAACGTTGAAGAGAACTCCTTCCGCCATTTTTTGTATTCAGGACAAGCAAAAACACAAGTGAAGTGAATTAATGTAGTGAAAAATGCCTCCCCCTGCTCGTCCTTGTACGCCCTTCTCTCGTCTAACAACTCACACATCATTCCATGTATAAAATATAAACAAAGACTGTTGAATAAATTACTGCCGGCCTCTTTCCAAAAAAAAAAAAAAAAAAAAAAAAATTACTGCCGGCCTTAATAATTGAAAGTTGATTTTTAATGCGGAAAAGGATCCCTCCGGATCCATTACGTGGGGATTATAGGAATCTACCCATTTCAACCATTTATTGTATATCATGTGATCAGTTTTCATCAGATATTATTTGTGTTTAATTTTAAATAATAAAAGACAATTAATTTATAACCGCATGATACACAATAAACGGCTGAGATGTGAAGTCCTCCACGTTGTGTTGTCTTTAAGTTGCTTGGCATCTTCTGTACTTATTTATTCATCGTAATTAATAATTAACAGTGTGTGTTGGAATTTGTATTGGATTGCTGTGCTATCGAATCGACACAAGCATCAACAGTGTGTGTGCCTTTCCTACTACTCTGTGGGATAAACAGATTTGGTTGACAGACCGAACCATAAACCGAAATACGACGCCCTTTGCACAATTGACCCGTTACACATTTACTGTCTACATCTGTATAAACAGCGCTGCTGGAGATAATGAACGTCCGGCTTTGGGTGTTACTTTAAATTGATCGACGAAACTCGCCACCTGGTCTCGTGCTTCTGCTATTGCTCAAAGGGGATGAAATCTGACTGGACAGTTGCACATCAGATAGTGAAACAGAACCGCTCTTTGAAAAAATCAATCCACCTGAACTACTTGAGGTGTTCCCGGAAGAAGGCACTCTATCCTTTTTGGAAGCTGAAAGTAATTCGGGCCGGAGATCCGATGATGAGGATGATGGAGCCAGGGTGGCCAGCAGAGACCCAACCGGGTATTGAACAGGAGGCATATCAACGAGAGATGAAGCTGAGAGGTTGCACCTCATGCTCTGCACTGGATGGTCAAATTTGCATGTAGATCCAAACTTGCACTGGCCATTTTGCAGGTAGAATGTACACGGCTGCACTCCCTGTCCAAACAAAAGCACGTTAATTTTCTCCATCGAATATGACATTGTTTAACAAATTAATGAAATATACGCAATTCACTACATATATGGTATAATGCTCATAATAATCAACACGGGCACAAAAAGGCACGATAATACTTTTGTTGCTTCACAATAAAAATCTAAAAACGTATGTTGCTTCACGATAATACTTTTGTTACAAAGCGGCCAACCAAATTTAAATAATAAAACAAAAAATGTGAAGAAGAAGACTCTGAACCAGCAAGACCAGATAAAGAAAAGCAACCCTACATTAGAGGGGAAAGACATCTCAAAGAATGACAGCAATAGCAATTCTATCAACGATGATCAAACTGATAAAAAGTAACCGTAATATAGAGAAAGCAAAAATATAAAACATAAAGTGAGCACTGAGAATAATGCAAGTGCGGAAGCACAAAACTCAAGCATAGATTATTTTGTTTCACGACTGCAGCAAAGGTTTTCCAGTCAAGGAACCTTCTGTCATCTTGCTCCCTTATTCCATAAGGACCTTTTGGATAAAAAAACTATTTCATAAGGTTTTTCAGCAACCAGAGGCAAATTTGTTTTCGAGTTACAACTTATAATGTGTTGCCGTGTCATCTGATTCCTATATTGAGCACATTACACATAAACATTATTCCTACATTAACCATACAACTACTTATGCTCATTGACACATCTTCTAAACTGGGGCCCACCGTACAACCCTACAATATTTGGGGGCATGAAACACTAGCAAATCTGGACAGGTACCTTTGGGTTTCAAACCTGAGACCACACGGGACAAACCCATGTGCCTCAGCCACCCTAATGAGCCCCTGTTGGTTGATGCTCATTAAATATTCTTGTACAAAATATAACCTTAATAAAAGAAGACTGCTTACTCAACCTATAAACATAGTATGACAGCCTTTTCTTTGCCACCTAATTTGTATTTCATTTGGTTGTACAAAGGATGCCAACCAGGTATGCCTTTAGATATGATAGTAGCATCCCACAATCCCCTTTTGGAAAAAGATTACTGTTTAATCGAGTAAAAGAAAAACAACTCTTGGGTCTACCAACTTGGATAACCAAGTGATGAACTTGATAACTTCTAACAGCGGAATTTAAAAAACTAAAAATAAAAATTCATCAAAAATAATATAAAACAACTTTGCATACCGGACGGAGTGGGAGATCCATCGGACTAAGGAGACACGTTATTCTCGGTACAGTTCGATCCCGAGGATGATGATACCTACAAGATGGTCCATATTTACAGTCCCCAGTTTTCAGATAATACTCGCATTCAAGTTCGCCAGGCCTCTCTGGGAAAACTTGTTCACTCCGGTTGCTGCTAGAAGGACCAACAGAAGAGGGTATGGAGGTATAAGGGCTTGCAAGTCCGTGTATTGGAGAAGATAGCTGTGTTACTCCATATAAAGAAGTTGCTCCAGGAGATGGTACTAAGGGACTGCAACAAGTAATAACATATTACCAGTTAGTAATGAACTTCAATCATAATATATCAACCTGAATATGTCTTTTATCATACCGAACTACGGACTCCAACCCTGAATCGGAAAACAACTCCGGGAGGAATCAAGACAGGACCGTAAGTCCCTTGCACATATGATCCATTTATTATAAGTGGAGGCCTAGGCCACCCTCCAAACTGGCCTGGAATGGAGCCCCCCCCCCCCAAATACTGTTCTGCCAAAGGCACAGGAGACTGCAATACAGAATTGGGTGCAATTCCGGTTGTTTTCCAGAAGTTGTAGTGAAGATGGTTGGCATGCCACCTGTTATGAAATTACAATTGCTTTTTAGGATGCCAATTGCATTCCGCCCGTGTTCCCATGCAATAACTAAGTTCATTCTGGCCAAAATTTGAAACAAAGGAATGCAACCGACTTTAAAGATTAAGGTGGAAACCAAATGTGGAGATATTGTTGTAGTCCAGAGCTTGACATGATGGTCATTTACAGGAAATCAAAAATCGTTTTGCCCCCATTAATAAATAATAGGTGAGCTCTTTTTTAAGGATCCAGCCCTGTTATAAAAAAAATATAATTTAAAAAAAAAACAACTGTGAGCCACTTGCTCACAAATTTCACAAAAGTCACACACCACCATATGTGGATGAGAGGGAAACAGAGAGAAATCAGCAAACCGGTCGTAATGGGTATCCATAAATATTTAGGTGAGCTCGGTTTAAGGATCCAGCTCCAAAGGTTGCAGGACGCACCAAATTTACAGGTCCCAGTCTTTAAATAATACTGCACATTAGACAAACATATGCCACAATCACATATGAAGTTCAAAGCTCAAACAAATAAATGGACAACATAACAAAGTTGCCAAAAAGTTTCCAGATCTCCATTGTCATTATCAGGCAGGAAATTCACATTTTACAACAGATCAGAAAACTACTGCATACCTCACATACAGGTTCCCCTACTATCTCTGGGTAATCCCCTGTAGCTCTTACAGTTGCCATGACCTACGTGCAGCATCAAACCGAAATCATAAACAAAAGATAACAAAATTCACAAGCAAAGACGATTTAAGTTACCAATAAAATCCAAGCAGTTGTAACTAAGACGACATTTCCCACTGCACCGAGCCCAAAACACAAATATTAGGCATTTTCATCAAATATAGACTAGTTTAACTATGTCAAATAAATTCCAAAAATAGTTCCCATTCTTTTCCCCAGCTTTCTCAGCAAACAAACAATCATCTAGTTTCAGGTAAAGGGACAAAAAACTACCTGCAACAAAACACTCAAACTTACGAAAATTCAAAACAACCTATATATCCTGTTGCAGTCACCTATAACTGAAAAGCTTGGTACTAGTTTACATATCAAAACCTGGCAATTAAGCAGTATCGAAAAAGCTCATTAACCGATTGCAATGCAAGTTTACAACGAACAAGGACTTACCGCAGCACGATCACGAGGATGGTTGTACCGGCACCGACCACCGTATCCACAGAACCCGGTTCGCATGTAGTAGACACAGTTGGGCACGCCAGGTCTCTCCGGATATGACTCGCTGCTCGTCAGCCCCAATTGCCACATTTGCTCTAAAAGTCACCCCCAAACCAGAACAAAACCCCAATCACAACCCCACATTACCGAACCAAACACGAAACCCTAGAAACCCCAGATTACGAAATTAGCCCAAATCGAGCTCAAACAAAGCGAAATTGAAACGCCGAGCAAGTAAAGGAGTACCTTCGAGGCCGGAGATCCGATGATGAGGATGATGGAGCCAGGGTGGCCAGCACAGACCCAACCGGATATTGAACTACATGCATATCAACGAGAGATGAAGCTGAGAGGTTGTACCTCATTTGCATGTAGATCCAAACCTGCACTGACCATTTTGCAGGTAGAATGTACACGGTTGCACAGTTGCACTCCCTGTCCAAACAAAAGCACGTTAATTTTCTCCATAGAATATGACATTGTCAACAAATTAATGAAATATACGCAATTCGCCATATATATGGGATAATGCTCGTAATAATCGACATAGGGGTTTTGAACAAAAAAAATAAAACCAACATAGGGGCACAAAAAGGCACGACATCCATTTTGGTTTCGAAATCTTGAATCTGATCAAGTGAAAGAATCATACGACTCTGACTTCCAACTCTGCTGCTGCACTGAAGCATCATACTTTTCTTCATATGGTTGCCAGATTCGGTGAAATCCCGTCCGAATTCCGTACCGGTACGGACGTACCAGTACTTTTTGGATTCGGTGGTTCATCTAACCATCTCCAATAATTTCTAATCAGATTACAGAAAAGCTGTAATTTTTGGGAAGAGAGGATCGAAACAACTGGAATTTTGGGAAGCTCTGTGCTTCTGGTTTTCGTCAGGTAGAGGGAAGACGATGAGGGAGAGGAAGAGAGATAAAATATAAAGTTTAATTGTACTTTTTAATATTTTTATTGTGTTAGTTGAGGATTCCATCTGGAGTACTGATTTTTCAGAGAAGATGCTGTGCTTTGAAAAAAAACTGTTGTGAGAATAATCGGTTGTGCTATGAGAATAAGTGGCTGTGAAATAAATCAGCTGAGTGTTTGGTAAACATTTTTGTAAAAGTGCTTTTGGAAAGAAAAAAAAAGCATTATGATAGTGGGTCTTTTCATTAAAGGAGCACTGTAACTCCATGTGCTTTGAAAAAAAAGCCAGTTTCCAAAGCTACAAATAGCTGCTTCAGCTTTTTCCTTTGATTTCAGCTTATTCTCACAGCAGCTTCCAAAATAAGCCCTTTTTTTTTAGTTTACCAAACACCTAAAACCCTTACAGTTTTTTTTCATGGGTGCTTTTTTTTAAAGCACCTCACTCCCAAACCACCCCGTAAAGAGTCGGAGGAGGCCGATAGCATTTCCCAAGTTCCATATTAATGTAATATTTATATTATTGGCTTAAATGTTAAAATGGTTCTTATGTTTTAGTTATTGACTCAATTTAGTCCATGTGTTTTCAATTTGGCCAATTTGGTCCTTGTGCTTTATTCATTGGGTCAAATTAGTCCATGTGTTTTCAATTTAGCCAATCTGGTCCTTGTGTTTATCTTCGTTAGCCAATTAAGGACATTTTATCTAATTTTAGAAAAAAAAATTATAAATTATTATAAACTTATTTATAAAATTATTTATTTGATTTAAAATATTTAAAAATGAAATAAAATTAAAAATTAAAAAATATATATTCTCCTCCCAACTCTCCGACCTTCTCCCTAACATTACCCCCTTTCTTTTCTATGTCACAACCTTAATCGTTTTTCAGATTGGAAGTTTTATCTCTTATATGTGTTATTTCTCATTGACTTTCATTTTTCTGTAAAGAGAAAGGGTAATTATATCTCATATAATTTTTCTTATGAATTTTTTAAAAGAGATTGAATGAAATGTCCTGAATTGGCTAACATAGACAATTAAGTGTCAAAATAGTTCCTAAAATAAATGGGTCTGATTTAATAATCCGGTGATTATTTAATACAAGGCTTAAATGTCAAAATAGTCCATGTGTTATAGCCATATGTCCAATTTAGTATTTGTGTAGTTTATTTGACTAATTTAGTCATCGTGTTTGTCTATATTAGCCAATTAAGGACATTTCATTCAATCTCTTTTAAAAAATTCATAAGAAAAATTATATGAGATATAATTACCCTCTCTCTTTACAGAAAAATGAAAGTCAATGAGAAATAACACATATAAGAGATAAAACTTCCAATCTGAAAAATGATTAAGGTTGTGACATAGAAAAGAGATGGGTAATGTTAGGGAGGAGGTCGGAGAGTTGGGAGAAGAATATATATTTTTTAATTTTTAATTTTATTTCATTTTTAAATATTTTAAATCAAATAAATAATTTTATAATAATTTATAAAAAAAAATTCAAAAATTAGATAAAATGTCCTTAATTGGCTAACGGAGATAAACACAATAACCAAATTGGCCAAATTGAAAACACAGGGACTAAATTGACCCAATGACTAAAACAACCAAATTGGCCAAATTGAAAACACATGGACTAAATTAACTCAATGACTAAAACACAATAACCATTTTAACATTTAAGCCTATATTATTCTGACTAGACAATTAAGTGAATTAATTGTTTTTTATTTGTTGCTTACAAATAATCAATTTAAACAAAAATAATTGTTTATAATTGTAGACATCGAAATTTCGGTAAATAAATGTTGACCGATAAATCAAAGTGTCAACGCTCATGTATTACATAAATTTTACACGTAGCGTGTGACTCAACGAAAATTGAAATGAGTTGGAAAAGTCATCAAATAGGACATGTGTCAACACCTGGCAGAAATGACTTATTTCATCTGGGATATTATATTCAAAATTAGGCCTTGGAAAATTCTATAAATACAAGCCAATTTCATTCATTTGGGGGGAACCAAAATCATTAAGCAAGCTCTGAAGCTCTGAAACTCCGAAGCTCTCAAGCATCCAGGTTCCCGAAGAATCAAGAAAGCTCTCTTCGTTCTTCGTTCATCGTTCTTCCAAGATCAAGCCCCAACGGCCCTTTAGATCAACAATCATCCACCAATTCAAGATCAAGCCCCGACAGCCCTTGAAGAAAGCACCGCCGTTCATCATCCGTTCATCCAAGATCAAGCCACAACGGCCTTTTGGATCAACAACGTCGACAAATCCACACACATCCAACCGTTCTTCAAGATTAAGCCCAAAAGCCCTTGAAGATCTGTTCATCACTGTTTCTTCAAGATCAAGCCCAAAAGCCCTCGAAGATCCGTTCATCACCGTTCCTCAAGATCAAGCCCCAACGGCTCCTTGAAGATCCGCTCAAATCCACTTTCAAAGATCAAGCCCACGGCCCTTAAAGAACGTTCATCCAAGATCAAGTCTCGACGACCCTTGGATCAATCGCACATCCACCAATCAACACCTTACGGAGATCAAATCAGATGATCAAATTAGAGAGAGATTGTAACCCAAAACTATCAAAATACAAATATTTGTTTGTGCACGTTGTTCTTGTCTATTTCGTTTCAGGAATTTTCCGTGTTTACAAATTGGCACGCCCAGTGGGACAATCTCTACCTCTCATCTCTTTCTCCGTTCAAGGAATCCAAACACACCTCAAAGTCAATGGCATCAAGTAAGGGACAGGCGTCTCTCGCAACCACTGAGGGATGGATCCTAAGCACTTCTGCCGCAAATGGACAATCCATTGGCCACAACCGCTCCTCAACATGCCACTTCAATGTTTGTGCCGCTAAAAGAACAAGGGGAGCATCAAAGGTGTGAGTCTGTCATCAACCTGACCTCGCTGAGGGCACCGAAGCATGCTGTTGAGGCACACAAGATGACATCCCAAAACAGCCAACGACGTTCTTCGTCAACATCTTGGATGTCTAAAGGAAAGTCACGTCTATTGGTTGCACAAGTCATGACCATCGGCGTTACCTCCATCGAAGAACAACTGGCTCAAATGAATGAAGCGATCGCAAGGCTAACACGGATTGTTGAAGAAAAAGACTTGCAAATCGCTGCACTCGTCAGCCGACTGAAGCCACAGGACGACGAGAACCCCGACCCAGAGAATGATCCACTAAAGAGAAAAGATGACGAAGAAGATGAGCCTCAGGTGGAGAAAAACGATGTGAAGCCGGAGCCAGACCAAGCAGCGGCACTCATGAGATCTCTTTCTATCCAGCAGCTGCAAGAGATTATCACCAACACCATCAAGGCACAGTACGAAGGGAGCTCAAATACCTCCGGGTTGTACTCAAAGCCGTATTCAAAGAAGATCGATGCCTTAAGGATGCCGAGGGGTTATCAACCACCAAAGTTCATGCAATTTGATGGAAAGGGAAACCCGAAACAGCACGTTGCCCACTTCGTTGAAACTTGCAACAACGCAGGAACCGAAGGGGACTACCTCGCCAAGCAGTTTGTGCGCTCACTGAAAGGAAACGCCTTTTAGTGGTACACGGACCTAGAGCCTGAGTCCATCAACAGCTGGGAACAGTTGGAAAGGGAATTCCTCAACCGCTTCTACAACACCCGTCGCACTGTGAGCATGCTAGAGCTAACGAGCACAAAGCAATGGAAGGATGAGCCAGTCATTGACTACATCAACAGATGGCGCACTCTAAGCCTCGACTGTAAAGACAGGCTCTCGGAAACCTCTTCAATCGAGATGTGCATCCAAGGCATGCAATGGGGTTTGCAATACATCATTCAAGGCATTAAACCACGGACTTTCGAGGAATTGGCCACTCGCGCCCATGACATGGAGTTGAGCATCGCCCATCATGGGAAGAAAGAACCGATCGCCGACTACAAGAACGATAAAGTTCTTGGGCCAAAGTTGGAGAAGACTGCGTGGAAACCCACCAAGGAAGCAATGACGGTCAACACAGCTCCCGTCAAAATCCCTACACGAGGCAAGGCAATTCAAACCGAAGCTTTTCGTGATCAAGAGATGCGTAGACGCACTTTGAAGGAGCTTGAGGAGAGGACTTATCCATTCCTCGACTCTGATGTGGTTGCCATGTTAGAAGACTTGCTGGAAAAGAAGGTGATTAGTTTGCCTGAGTGCAAACGGCCAGAAGAGATGAATCGCACTGACAGTCCAAGGTACTGTAAATTCCACCGCTTCATCAGTCATCCGACAGAAAAATGTTTCGTGCTGAAAGATCTCATCATGAAGCTGGCTCAGAAAGGAATCATCGAGCTAGATCTTGACGATGTGGTGAAGTCAAACTATACCACTTTCACTTCTGGCTCTTCCGACTCAAAGTTTTCACCTCAACCGCTGGGGGCATCCTCCAAGACAAGCAAAGTTGAAGGATGGACTCAAGTCACTCCTAAGAAATTGCACAAGAAGCATACGTCTCATCCACAAGTCCGCCAATCGGAAAGGGGGCAAAGCAGCTCTTGTCAACCTTCAAAGCAACGTGAACGTGTTGAAGATGATGAAATTTCAACACATAGACCATCCATCCCCATCACGATGCGCGATTTCTTTCCTGAAGACTTCTTCAATCACTCGGTCAAGATTCCTTGCTATGAAAATTGCAAGGAAAGCCTCTCCAGGATCGTTTAACAAATTCACAATGCTTCTTGTTCGCACGAGCCTAAACTGCACGAACCAAAGCTCCTCGCTTGCACGAGCCTAAACTGCATGGCACAATGCTCCTGGTCTGCACGAGCATAAAAGGCAACACCAATGCTCCTGGTCTGCACGAGCATAAAAGGCAACACCAACGCTCCTGGTCTGGTCTGCACGAGCATAAAAGGCAACACCAACGTTCCTGGTCTGCACGAGCATAAAAGGCGACACCAATGCTCCTTGTTCGCACGAGCCTAAGCTGCACGAACCAATGCTCCTTGTTCGCACGAGCCTAAACTGCACGAACCAAAGCTCCTTGTCCACACGAGCC